TTAAATTTTTTTTTATAAATATGAATTTTTAAATCTTGCTTAAATGCTGCATCTGAAAATTACAAAAGACAAGTCTTAACTGTTTGATTAATCAGTTACGTGTTCTAAAAAAACTTATGACTAGCCATTTACAAAAATTCATATGATTGCCATCCCTAATAATTGAGCGTTTAATAACCAAAGTATACTGTGAAAATCACAAATTTTCATAGGGAGTTAATTTTTTGAGGTACATGTATGAAGAGACCCATGAATTATTGTCCCCAAGGAAAGGTAAAATTTCAAATGAATAACACTTCTTCAACTGCAAAATCAAATCTCCATCATTTTTGGTCAATCCACAAAACTTTGACCCCACAAAATTCAGTGATTTTACAGGATATGGAGTTTGTAGTGAGTTTTGATTTTTTTTTTTTAAATATTGCTTTTCTGGAATGAGGAGTAGGAGTTTCTTGTAACATTTAAATATTTCAGGAGATGAAATGCAATGTGTGCCATGAAGTATTTCCTACACGGAACAAACTATTTACACACATAAAGGAACAAGGACATGCCCTCCGAGTGGAACAACCTCTGTCATCAAATCAGGGGAAGAAAAAGAAAAACAAGAAATAATAACGAAAAAAATTAGTCATTATTGGTAGAACTAAAAGAAATTGTGATTGATCTCAATTGTGATAATTAATGTCTCCAATAAATTCTAACACTGAGGAAAATCTGAATGGGCAAATCGGTCCATCTTTCTTTCCAATCTCATTTCCTTTGATAGAAAGGAGTTTAAAGTTTATCATATTGCTGTCCATGTCTTGAAGTTTTCATTGATCCAGTGTCTTGGAGTAACAGAGGTTGGGATCTAAGGAGGGAAAAGAAATAAAATCAGAATGGAAATATCTCAAAGCTACAAGAAGGGATTTTTTCTGGGTGAATGGTTGTTGCAAAATGGATTTTGCTATTCCGATATTTATGGATGTAAAATTGAAGTCAAAATAAAAACATGTTTTAATTATGGACAGTTTTATGTGATATATTGTATAAAAGGAGCCCATATTGTTCTTCTTTTGGACTGTTGCAGGTAGTGTGGGTGTCTCCCACAATAGGAAAGATTAAACTGATTCAATAATATTGAGCATGCTCCGAGTGTGATCAGTTATTTAAACAACGTCGGCTACTCACACATAAGTTGATGTTACAGAGATTTCAACAACCTCATTTAAAGTCAGCATTGCGTAAATTTTATGGCCATTACAATGACCTTTGAATCAAATATAACCTATCATCAGGTTGTATTTTGGTTGACTTGTTTCATACCAATTGTAAGGAATGTTCCATCCACCTGATAAATGTATTGGGCCTATTGCGGTTGTTACCGGTCAACAGGGGATGGTTACTCTTCATAGGCACCTGATCACCTCTCTGGAATATTGCCTAATTTGACCCATAACTCAAAAATTACATCACTGACTCAAACTTTTTATTACTTTTTTTACCGCCCAGCACTAAATTCATAAAAGTTTTTATTGCTATGATTACATCTAGTAATATAAATATGACTGAGGATAAAATAATCAAAACTATATGGTACCAGAACCCAATTTATTTGCACTCACACTGCACTACATTGCACCACCTCAAAGGGGACCTAATTTAACTATATAACTTGGAAATATGCTTTTACTATGGCATGGCTACTAATTGATTTTTAGCTCACCTCGATGAAAGGGTCTTTCCTCCTTAAGAGTTTCTTTATGTCCTAACTAACTACAGTCAGCAATGTGGACCATCTTTTTTTTTCATAATTTTCTAATTTTTGGCAGTTTAAATTTTGAAGTCCAACATTTTAATTTTATCAAGTAAATTGCTTAATGTTATAAGCTACACATTTCTTTCAAAATTTTAAGACTGAAAAAAAGGAATTTAAATCAATCCTATATTCACAGTTTCATGATTATTCATTTTTTTTTTAAATTTATTTTCTAAAATCTTACAAATATTCACTGATAGTTTAAAGAACCAAACTAGGCAGTTCAGAACACCTTTTCTACTATGTACCTATAACCGTTTTAATATTTATGATAAAAAAAGTACTAGTATATGAAATATAAAGATTACAAACATTAATCAAGCTCAAAAGTTCATTGAAACAAAACAAAGTTGGAGCAGAGCAAACACAGACCTTCAAAAACATCAAAATTGGAATCAGATGCCATGCAGGAGTAAGCATGCCCTAAGATCGGTCACATTTTGGACCTAGAGACATTAACTCCATACTCATATGATAATGGTATATTGTTGCATAAATACCTGTAAGGGAAGTTGGCAAAAGAAAAATTAAAGTCGTCACGTTTATCAGAAGTAAGTTACTAATATATCAAGTTATGAAGCATGTGCCAAACTCTTTGCAGTCATTCTACAAAAACATGCCCAATTAAGAATTTTTTATGTCGCTTGCAAATTTACCGTTGTAATATCTTAACTATAGTTTCAAAGATCGATTTCATCTCTAAGACTTACATTTACTGATATATAGGCTATGCATTTTAAGTTTTGATATGAACACAATATAATATTGAAAAATGTATTCCACTGCAAATCTTAATGTCGCTTCATTCATTTACAAATTCAAGATGAAATTTTCAGCCGTATAAGCGTTCCGAATAGATTACAATGAATGTTAAAAACAGTTTTTTTCCTATGTAAAAAGAATACAAACCACTTCTCGCAAAGAAATGCATGGATCTTCTTTCATACGAAATCATAGTATGTCGCTGAAAAAACAATTAACTTCCGTAACGATTTTGTTTTAAATTAAACGCCCAGAATGCAGATTTCAAAAAGAACTGGAAGTTATTTGATAGTGACCACGGAACCTTATATCATCGATTCTAATTGCGAGTCAGCTACTTTAGACCATTACATTTTCGACATAACAAAATGAATTAGACAAAAAACGGTCGTATCTCTTAAAAAATAAACTTCCGTAACGGTAATTCAGGAATGTGTTTGCATTAAAGGTATAAACATTTTTATTATTTTGGGAGAGAACTGATTTATACTTTTGTTTTAACATCTTAAAACAAACTTTAATTTTAACTATAACCGAGAATTTCAACCTTTATTGATGGAAATTAACTTCCTTAACGATTAATTAACTTCCGTAACGATATTTTTCCCGAAATTTCAACTTGATATCGGATTCATGCGAGACTTCAAGAATCATACTTCAGCGTTCTATAGTAAACATCAGAAAACGAAAAATTGGTCAAATTCAGCTTTATTTAAAAATAATAAGACATGATCAAGCATTAACTTCCGTAACATTACCTTAAAATCAATGGTATATTGAAATTGATGTAAAAAGTTAACGATACCAGATTTGTGGACAATTTTGTTTTTTTTTTCCAAGTTCACTGATATGTCCTTTATAGAATTATGATGTTCAATTTGCTATTTGAAACAATATTTTTTTTTTCATGTCTTATACGCTGAATTGGTCCTTTTATCGTAGAATGACTGCTTGGTGTCTTTTATTTATAGTGATCGGAACATCGAATCAACCTAAGACTGTAGAACTTCTATTATTCGTGTCATTTTTTATTCGCGATCCATCAGTTTGAAGTCAATCTGTGACAAGAAATTTTCGCGACCGAGGAAACATTTTACAGAAATACGCACTAGTGATAAATATTCCCAAGATAAAGATCGCGGAAATTTCTTGAACACAATTAAAAATTGTTATGATAAAAAGTCATCGATAGACTTTCCCGTTCATGACAAGGAACACATGGCAGGTTTGACCTGTCGTTAGGGGATGGTTACTCCTCTATAGCACCTGATCCCACCTCTGATTTTTTCTAGAGGTCCGTATTTTCTCTGCTTGCGATTTGCATTGTTTCAGTGGACTTTTGAGCTTGCATTACTGTTTGTTATCTCCATCTTTCAACTAAATATTGAATTGAAGGCCAAATCAAAAGTCTTCTCTTCATATAGAAGTTTTTATTGATCTCTACATCACATAAATACAAAAGTAGGTCTGTTAAGAACGGGGCACAATGAGTACCCATGGAAATTCTAAGATAAAATGTATTGTTGGAAGACGATCCTCAAAAACTACATAGATATTGTCAATAAGAAACTTAAGAATCTTTTTAATTCAACTTTGTGTAATTTTGTGGATAATCAGAATGTTTTTCACATTTTTTTTATTGCAAATGATCAATGACAATTTAAATACATGTAAATAATTTTTATATTCAATCTTTTAAAAGTACAATCAGAATGTTCTTGCAAATGATCAATAAAAGTGTAAGTAAATAATATTTGTAGTTAATCTTTTACAGGTTTTTTTAAAGTAACAAACAGGTTATGTCACTTCTAATTTCATACTTGTTAGTTTGAATACTGTGGAAACATCTTTGTTCGTTGGGGGGATCAATGTTAGCAGATTTCGTGGGTAGTCCTTGCCCTTGTCCACGAATTAACGTCCCCACGAACATTGAAACACACACATACATTTGCAAGTTACCCACGAAATTACCTCTCCACGAACCATAAAATTTTGGTTATGCACGAACATTGAGCTCCACGGACAATGATGATTTCACAGTATTACGCTTAATGGTAAGAGGGTTTTTTTTTTTTTTATCTGTATGGAGTAATTTAGGTAAAATATACAGGAATAAATGTTAATGCATTGTGGTTGTGAAAATGAAGGTAGATGGTATTTTACAAAAAAGATCTCCAATGTATTTAATAGTGATATTTTGACCACCATAATAATAATAAATAATGAAGGTTGAGTGAAATTAAATTGCAAAATGATTGCACTTATTAACTATTACAATAACAATAAAAAAAATTAGAAAACCCACTGTGCTTTCAAAATGAACAAAAAGGTCAATATCTGGACTTTTCAAACTAAATAAAAATAGTCAAAATACTAAAAATAATCTTAACCAGAAACGGAATCAAAGATATGATCTGTGAATAAGAGAATAAATGTTTTATGTTCCCAGATTGACCAGCAGTGGGTGGGTCATGTTTTTTATCATGATGCCTTGTATTCTTGTCAGTGTAGCAGTCTGTATTTTGCTGAATTCATATTGGAGTGATCGTTGGTAAGAGTACAAAGCAGCCTCGAGATTCGGAGGGTCTGACATCTGCTGACAAATCCCCAGGATCTGCCATGATATGTCTTTAAGATGTAGGGCTACGTACTTTCCCTCATCATAATGCACTAAGGTATATAGATCATCTAAAGCTGTGTGTGCTCTTGTCATGTCAACATGTCTACTGCACAAAAAATCCAACATGTGCAAGAGGACAAAGGGTGGTACCAATAGTCCATCCCTTTGTCCTGGTATAGTACACTGTAGTTCCATCATTAATTCATTGATGTAACAGATATCAGCCAGAAGCATAATGTCGTGAGCTACAGCCTTTCTCATCTTTGTAGACCAGGTCTGTCCTCTTAGCGCCTCTCTATACCTCTCTGCGTCCACGTGTACCCAATACATAACAAATGGTTTTGATAGTCTGGCCTTTGACATCTCTATCACAGTTAAGGCTTTCTGGTACCTAAATGTCTTGTAATAATACATAGCAATGTATAACATGTAAGAAATTAACCCAAACTTGGCTGTTACTTTCAACATATAACATGACATTTTGTCAGCGACGTACACCAGTTTATTAATACCAGTGTATGCGTACTTGGTATGCAACATAAATGCAGCTAAGTATAGTGTATAGGCTATCATATTTTGTAACATGACAATTTCATACGATGAAGCTGATGAAGCTATCAATTGTTCGATTTTTTGAAGATATTTCAAACATTGTTGAAAGTCTGCATTGCGTAGATCAAACTGTCTTAAATTACAGAATACATCAGTATCAAATTCGACTTCAGACGTCACGTAACGTTCATCTGTAAAAACGAAACCCCTAGGATTGTAGAGAACCTTTATGATATGTGATCTTATGGAAGGACTCTGTAACAGAGATGCCAACCCGGTCACGTATAATGAATGTAACCATAAAAATAACCTATTTTGTGCTTCCCCATATATCTTCACTAAAAACATATTGTTTTGAGGAATGAAAAAGTTTGGACAGATCCCATCGTACACCCACTGTAGGATGACTTTAAAACAGATCCAGAAACACTCCAAAAGATTCTGTGGACACCAGCAGGAAATGATGTTTTTCTGAATCACCCAAAACACTGCTGTTTTCATGTGATAGGAACAAAGCAGTTTGCTATTGTTTTCTGATCCTTCGTTATCTTCAAACTGGTGATTTAAGACCTCTTTCAGGAACAATTTTAACAATCCATAAACCAGGAACTGGCAGTGGTTCATCGAGTACACAAGTTTCTGTTCTGCCAGAGAAAAAGAAATTCTCCATTCTTTACTTTGATGGAGCCCTAGTGGATGTCCAATTGGTACCAAGTGGCATCCTCTCTTAACTATATCTCTTACAACTTGAGCTGGAGGCCACACGTGACATCTCTCTATCCATAACGAGGCAGCTGGAGGCCAAAAGTCAGAGGCAAGACAGTAAGCATTATCAAAATCTATTCCAATTACATTTCCACTTCCACAGGGTCCACTGAAAGTAGAAATTTGGAATTTAGAACACATAATTTCCTTGTATACTGAACTAGAAATATAAAATCTTCTATTTTTCATGAAACAGGCCAAGAAAATATCTCTGTTCCAAGGTGGTGTCAGTATCTGAAGCAGAGAAAATCCTGGTGGACTTTCAGAAGAATCAGAGATAATTATTGTTTTTCCATTTATATTTTGAAATTGACGCCGGTCCCAGATTACCCGATGATCAGTAGGCCAAAACATTCTGTCTACATCGGATCCTGTCAAATTGAACCCTTCTCGTCTACTTCCACTCAGCATATACCTCGTGTTGTTATTGGCTTTCCCTTGTCTTTTCACTGTCTCATTAATGTCCGCCATATTTCTCCTCATGGCAACTTGTTGTGAGGTTCCTATTTTGTGACACAATCCAACAAACACAGATTCCGAAATGTGCTGGATTCCTTCATATCTGAGAGAAAAAGTAAAATACATTTTTAGAATAAAAATTGAAAGGCAGTGAGGAGTATATGATATGAATATTGAAAATTGCTCTGTCGTATTTATATGTCCATTGCGACAAATGAATTTCCATTCTCAATTGTATGAACTCTAGTCCACTGTTGCTTCGAATTTTAAGAATCTCTCAGCATTTTTTTTATATGGGGACTCAGGTTTGACTGTACGTCGATCCACCTCCCCTAAAACCTTACGTATTGTAAAATCTTTAAATCACTTTGCAATGATGTAGTAATATATTTAATAAATTCAAACGGATATTTCAAACCAATTGTTAGGCCTTTGTTTTTATACTAAGTGTGACTACGGCTTATTCCATCTACTTGTTCAATACATAGGGTCATTTGACGTGTGCGACCAGTCAACAGGGGATGCTTACTCCTCCAATGCACCTGATCCCACATCTGGAAATTCCATGGGCCCCCGTTTTATGCGTGTTCACAGATTTGTATTGTTTGTCGGTTAAAGGTTATGCTACGATAAATCAGACAAAGGTCCTCAGATACATCTCACCAGTGGGAGAGTTCTCCATGACCAATTATGGGTTCGAACCAGGAACGCAAGAATATTTCTTAACATCGAGATTTTGAATAAAAGGTGAAATTGAACCTTACATTCCGGATTGTAAGTATGTTCACAGGAACTCTTTTCCGTATATTTTATACCCATAGATTACAAACTTGCCATGGCATGATGCCAATAAATGCTTAAAAGCAGACAGGAATAAATTTTTAGTACAGGAAACAAAACAGAAATAAGGTAATCAATCCTTTAAACAATTATATTCCCCATAGATAAGGACGAGGGATTCACCAAGTTGTATAGAATAGTGCACTTACAGAGTCGGTGGTAAAGAAGCCATTTTCTTCGATCAGAGAAAATTTTCAAAGCTAATATTGGCTCTGGGAAATTTATCCGGTAATTTAAACATTACACTTTCAGTTTGTATTTTCTATTGGAGCTTTAATAGATATGCACAAATGTCTATTACATTTACCCCAATTCATTGCTTGCCTTATTCACAAAATGACTTAATGGTCTATTGGTCTTTCAGTTGATCAGTCATAACCGTAGCGTACGAAGTGGAAGCTATAGTTAACGACATTAATCTATATGTAACATCTCTAAACCATGGTTTACGTCTAAATATTTACATTGCATTTGCATTTTTTCCCTTAATATTCTTTGCAAATTAGAAAAAGATCATTTTCTCATGAACTACCACGGACGAGCAAGAATATTTCCACTGTGAAGACGATGTCTTAACTATAGTGCAAACTGTTTTGTTTTAAAAATGATCATTGAATGACCTAAAATTGTGTCAAGTCATCAGGCAAATAATGTAAATATATAAGAATTTAATGTAATTTTTGAGAATTCATGAGGTCCATGAACTACAACGCTCGCATTTTCATCATGAAGTATTATACCGCTCTTCATGAAATGTACAGGCTTGAAGTGTCGCAGTTCATATATCCTCATGTGTTGACAATACTGTCGCTCTTTAGGATTCTAATGCAGGTTCGAAGCGTTTGGAGATTTCATATTTGGTCCAAGGTTCTGTTGGCCAGTTTTAACACGAAAATAATATGCTTTGGAATAAAAAAAATTCAGTAGAAGGTTTGGAAATTTTAATCAAAACATTCGATCGTCAAAGACGCAGTGAGAATAAATCAACTCTGTGATTTACTATGCCGTTGCAGAAAAAAATAACCCGCGTAATATTTCTTTGCAATAGCTGCGACGTTTATTTCCGTTTTTACAAATAAAGAAAGGCATTTTATTGTTTATATTTATGTCTGTGTTATAAAACAATGAAAGTTGAATATGTTAAATATTGTATCATAGATGTGTGTGTCAGTGTATGCATAATTGACTGAAGCGCCGTTGCTCAAGAAATCTTTTGCGGGTGTCTTTAAATTCTTAGCAGCGTTAACTGACTGATAAACGGCAATGGTTTTCAGAAGAAATAAAGGAAATAATATTTAGTGGATGTAAATATTTATGTATTACCTGTGATAAAGAAGAAATTTTAAATATATAGAAGTTGGCTCTGGGACGATTGAAATCCAAATCATATTTGCTTGTTTGCTTAACGGCCTTTTGATGATTTTTTCAACAAACTCGTTTAAAGTCGGCATTTCTATGGTCGCTATTATGACCTTGTTAGCAAATATAACCTATCATAGGGTGGTAATTTGGCTGACTTGTTTCATATCAAATGTTAGGCCTTTGTTTTTATGCCCCCGGATCGAAAGATCCCGGTGGTATATTGTTTTTGTCCTGTCTGTCTGTTTTTCTGTTTATCTGTTTGTCTGTTGTCAACTTTAACCTTGCCCATAACTTTTGATTGGTTGGAGCTATGACTTTCATATTTCACATGTGTATTCCTTGTGACTAGACCTTTCTTTGGGTACCATCATATTTACCTTTTGACCTTGCCCTTGGAGTTTGACCCACTTTTGCAAAATTTTATGAGACTTTAACCTTGGCCATAACTTCTGAACAATTGGTGCCTGGGGTTTCAAACTTCACGTGTGTATTGTTTGTGACAAGGCCTTCCTTTGGATACCAACAACTTTGACCCTTTGACCTTGATCTAGGAGTGTGACCTACTTTTGAAAAACTTTAACCTTGGCCATAACTTTTGAACAGTTGGAGCTTGGGGTTTCAAAATTCACATGTGTATTCCTTGTGACAGGACCTTCCTCTGGATATCAACCTCTTTGACCCTTTGACCTTGATCTAGGAGTGTGACCTACTTTTGAAAAACTTTAACCTTGGCCATAACTTTTGAACGGTTAGAGCTAGGGCTTTCATACTTCAAATATGTAATCCTTGTGACAAGACCTTCCTTTGGATACCAACCACTTTGACCTTTGACCTTGACCTAGGTGTTTGACCTACTTTTGAAAAACTTTAACCTTGGCCATAACTTTTGAATGGTTGTTGCTAGGGCTTTCATACTTCACATATGTAATCCTTGTGACATCACCTTCCTTTGGATACCAACCACTTTGACCCTTTGACCTTGACATAGGAGTTTGACCTACTTTTGAAAAACTTTAACCTTGGCCATAATTTTTGAATGGTTGGTGCTAGGGCTTTCATACTTCACATACGTAGTCCTTGTGACAAGACCTTCCTTTGCATACCAACCACTTTGACCCTTTGACATTGACATAGGAGTTTGACCTACTTTCGAAAAACTTTAATCTTGGCCATAACTTTTGAATGGTTGGTGCTAGGGCTTTCATACTTTACATATGTAATCCTTGTGACAAGACCTTCCTTTGGATATCAACAACTTTGACCTTGACCTTGATGTTTTACTTACTTTTAAAAAACTTTAACCTTCGCCATTACTCTTGAACAGTTGCAGCAAGGGCTTTCAAATTTAACATTTTTTATCTTTTGGCCTGGATTTTGACTTGCATTTGAGAAACTTTAACCTTCGCCATAAGCTGCCATACGGGGGCATCAGTGTTTCACCAACACATCTTGTTATTTCTGATTTTAGACTGAATTAGACACCGGAATATTCCGTCTGCCTGATCAATACATGGGGCTCACGGCGGGTGTGACCAGTCAACAGGGGATGCTAACTCCTCCAAGGCACCTGATCCCACCTCTGAAATTTCTAGGGGCCGTGTTTTACGCGCTCTCCACATTTTTTTTTATATAGATTTTTTGATATCGATCACTGTTCGTTATATTCACCCTTTTCACTCATTATTGATAAATTATTGTTATTTTAACTTGACAAAATAAAGGAACAATATGCATTTTCCTCTGAAGAAGTTGTCGCTCTTATCAGAGAATCAACGAACCTTAAAGAGCAAACATGAAACATCCGTTTTGCAAAACATCTACCATGCTATCAGGGGACTAATTTTCAATGAAGAACAACAAAACCAGAAAAAATGACCATACTATTACATTTGAAAAACAGAAAACATTTTGCTTAGAAAACTGGTAATGGGAATAAATCTATGTCTTTGTGTACATTAAATAAATGCACGGACTATAACTAAACAACTCATTCAGTACTAATACTCTTAACACGTTGTTGTTTATTTCTTCTCTGGGTTTTTCTACCTCCTTCGTCTCCTTGGATTCAGATGAACTCAGCATTTCTTCTTCCACCACTTCCGCCGGACTTGGAAAGTCCACGTATTCCTTTTCGATGTTGAGATCCGCCTCAGCCTCCAGGTCTCGGATTTTTTTCAGTTCATCTGAGAGCACCTGTTCCTCCACCTCGTCCTCTCTTACCTCCTCCTGTCTAAGTTCAATAACAAAAAAGACGTTACAGACGTCATCGGTGTAACCTGTCAGAAAAATAACATATCTACATCCAGTGCAGAAAAAAATGACAGACATCATTTGTAAACCTTCAGATAAATTAAAATTTAAAAAAAAAAATCGGTAATGCAATGCAGTCCAAGGGAATTTCCGGCAATCGCAAACACTGGCTTTGACGAGCACATATTTTAGGTGCGGATCAAAGAATTTTGTCGTTGACGGAATGCTTTTAAAGAGAGCAGCAAAACGGAAATATGAAGTGGGATATCTGCCGAAAATCTTGTCCGAAAATTTGTGTGCACCCATAACTGAAATAGAGAGGTCATTTTTTTTTATTCACGCGATAGGGCATCAATTTCGTTTCCATACCATGAAATTTCAAATAGGACAGGGGTCTAGTACAAAGGAAGAGATCACATGTTGAACCAGTGCTTGATTGTAAACTATTTGTTTGGTTTTTATTAATTTAGTTTGTACAATTAAAAGTAATTTATACATTTCTCTTTCATTTATCAGTATAAAGTAAACTTTTCAAAACTCCAAAAGATTTATTCCTGAGCGAAGCGAGTCTTCGGGTCAGAGATTTAACAAATTAATACACAGTACATGGTTTACACAACAAATTAAATCCTTTCTTTTCTATCCACTTCTTAAAGTTCTTTTATGCTTCTTATTATTTCGGCCACTGTACAAAATGGAGACCTTCCGAAATGTTATTTCTGCCTGTACAGGTAGGTAGGTTTAAAAAACAGAAATATTCAAACTAAGATCTGTACGATGTATACATCAAATCATTGTTCCTTTGGGACTTTGAAGCACTATTTGAAGTGGACATTAGTTACATATTAACAGGTTAAAAAGTGATAAATTGATATGGTAACGATGATTAGACAAACATAAAATTTTTCACAAAACGAAAAAATCTGGATGAGAAGATAGATGTCCATCCAAGGTACATGTATATGTATTTCAGACTGAATGTCTTTCTTTGTTGATTGGCCTTTCTTGTACATTAATAAGCGAAGCGAGAACTCAGGTAAATATCAGCATATGTAGGTTTTACCTGGTGCCTTCAAGTAATTATCTTTGTTTGAGGTGTGAACCACGTGTAAGTTGGTAAACCTCTTACGAACACCGAGTCCCTTACTTGGATTGGGGGCAATGGGCAAGTGAAAGATTAAACAGCCTACCTTTACAACCTCACAAAGCGTAGTTAATAGAGACGTGTTAAAGGGAAACTGGAGAAGTTGCATGAATAAGAGTACAAGACGATATCTCTGCAATCTCTTGATGTGAAGAAAAACAAACAAAAAAAAGGAATTTTGAAATGAAAATTTAAAAAAATTAGACCATTGCCTTTCGTTCTATTACATAAAATTAGATGTAGCTAATGAATAAATACCAGTGTAGTCTACAAATGGTCATTAGTCACGATTATACTGCCGGTGTAAAAGACTCAATTTTCTCGTTTAAAGTCATCATTTCGTAAGTTCTCTGGTCGATACAATGACCTTGTCAGCAAATACAATTTATCATTAAATCAAATGCTGACTGGCATTTTTCATACTAATTGTTAGGCCATTATTTACACACTAAATTGACGACGGATTTTTCCGTTATTTCCCGACCATGACAAGGAGCGGGTGTGACCGGTCGGCAGGGGATGCTCACTCCTCCATGGCACCTGATCCCACATCTGCTGTTTCAGATGTCCGTGTTTGCTCTGCTCCTGATTTATATTGTTTAAATGGACGTTTGAACTTGAATATTGTTCGTTTTCTTCAAATATTTTATTGTTTATGTAGTTGCTCACCAACGTGCAAATTACATAATAGAAATATTGATTTTAGTAGTCACTAGACTGCGGCTATATTTTATTTGATAATTTACTGCTTAAGGTAAGGATCCTTCTAGTAAAATATACAAGGAGAAAAACTTTCTGCCTTTTTTTGATACATTTAAATTGTCCTTTGTTCGCAAAGAAACTCTTAAATGTGGGAAAATGAAAACTCAAACTTTTGTCTCATAAGATTATATTGAAGGATGGGAAAGAAATGTTAATTGATCCTCTCTCTCTCTCTCTCTCTCTTTCTTATCAGTGATCATATTTCTTGGCCATAACGCAAGAACCTTTGATTACTAGAATGAAATACAGAGATAACGAACAGTATTCAAGCTCAAAGTCCATTAAAACAATATAAATCGGGAACAGAGCAAACACTGACCTCCAAAAACTATATAAGTTGCTACAGTCTTTGTCGGCCGGATTTATAAATAGTAAGTCATGTTATGAAATATATGGAGATAACGAACAGCATTCAAGCTCAAAAGTCCATCACACAATACAAAATAGGAGCAGAGCAAACACGGACCTCCAAACATCAGAGGTGGGATCAGGTGTCATGGAGGAGTGAACATAGACCGGTCACATCCGCCGTATGCTCCTTGTCATGATCGGAAAATAACGGAAAATCCATTGACAATTCAGTGTGGAATAATGACCCAACAATTAGTATGAAAAACGTCAGTCAGCATATGACTTAATGATAGATTGTATTTGTTGACAAGGTCATTGTATCGACCATAGAACTTACAAAATGATGGCTTTAAACGAGACTGTAGATATTCTTGTTTCATCAACTTGTTTGTCAATAACTTACCTAGTATTAGAAATTGTTCATACGTAGAGCTTACTCTTGCGTATCGAATCAACTACGAGGGGTTATCAAAAAGCGCCATAAAATTAAAACCGCTTTAGGTACATCAATAAATTTTAAGACATTTAGTTAGCATCATCTTTTCTATCTATAGAGTAAACCACAAATCAGTAGTTTTGTTTTTTGATAAATTGTTAATGTTTTTGTAAGCAATGGTATGTCCAGGCGGCGCAACCTCGAACTTAACGTTTTTTTCTACCTGAGTGTAACTTAGAAAAACTCTTTTAATATAAATATTTGTCATCCAAAAATCCCGTTAATTCAGGCATGTGATATGACACAACTGTTCCGTAAAATTTGTACCTCATTCTGTAAGTTCTATTAAATTTTATCGTAAACTTCATATGGAGTGTACAAACAATTAAGGGCTTGAAAATGACGTCAAAGAGGGGGAGGGGTTTCTTTTTCCAACATTTTATAAAGTAGCCGCTGGAAAAACTGCTATAGCCTTAGGGAATGTTTAAACGGACTACAGAGAAAGAAAATCCACCCAGAGTACTTTTTATAAACGCGGAAAAAGAATCACAGAGATGAGAGATGCACAGTTAATTTCAATTTGTAGTCGGGGCGTCAAAAGTCAGTCACGTCGAAAAGCGACGTTGATCATGTCTGGTAGATATTGAACTCCGACAAGCAAAATATGCTGGCATAATCAAGTGAGGATCTTTACATATGTATAGACCCATCTGCAATATTATATGCATTTAAAGCAGCTGTTCGTGACATTGTAAAGTCATATAAACAAGACAAGTTTAAGTCCTTACTTAACTCCAGGAAATCTCATCAAGATAAATGTATGAGGTAGAGGGAGCGGACATTGAGAAACTATGACGTCGTCGAACGTAATGAAACTAAACGGCGACAGCGCCGGTTGATCATTTAATGCCTTTTTTATTTTATAATAATTTGGCAAATTATCAACGTTACAAGCTAAAATTTTCAACATTTCTTAAACTTTTGTTGTTTTATGTACCTTATAAATTTTGTAAGCACAGACTTCATAGTATTAATTTTATTGCATCAGTCTACGAACTTTTTGATAACCCCTCGTATTGCTGCATAAGTAAGGGAAGTTGACGATTGAAAAGTTAAAGTCATCACGTTTATCATAAAGCTTGGTTGTTAGACTACCTTTAACGTCTTTTTCTAGTAAAATATCCAAATATGAAACAGATGTGTCAGACTCTGTGGTATCTTTTTTTCAAGCCCACTGGGATATATTGTGTCGACATATGGATGGAAATAACTATTGTTAATTGATAATACGTCGTCGATATATCTAAATGTTGAATTGAAGGCCATGGCAAGAGTTTTTTTAATGTATAAGATTTATAAGATTTTGTATAAAATTTTGAATAAATTCTGCTTCATATGAATACAAAAATAGGTCTACTAACAACGGGGCGCAAAAGGGACCCATTGGAATTCCAACAGATTGTTAGAAGACCTGTTCTCCAAACACCACGTAGATATTGTCAATCAGAAACTCAAGCATCTTTTAATATCAACTTCAGTGTACATATGTGTACAATCAGAATGTTTTTTGACAAAATAATTTTGCAAATGAGTAGTGACAAGGTAAGGAAATCTAACGGTGCTACCCAAGGTCACACATCAAAGTTTAAGGTCAATATGCATTCTTAAATCCTGCAACTTCGAACAGTCGATTATAATACATCGGTATTCAATCCCTTTGCTCATAAATGAGCTAACAGGGTTGAGCTAAAGGGGTTGTTTTATGCTGTAGGAAATATTTTTATAAGAGTCAGAAAAATGTTTCCTCTAAAGGATATATATATATATATATATATATATATATATATATATATATATATATATATATATATATATATATATATATATATATATATATATATATATATATATATATATATATGTATGTATGTATGTATGTATGTATGTATGAAAAATGAAACTTGACAAAATAATTTAACGGAGAACCTTATTCCACCTCCGAAATTCCAGTAATACTGGCCATTCTTATTAGTTAGTGTGGACTGATCTGATTATTTAATACAGGACTGTGATTTAATTCACTTCTATTTTCAGGGAGAAAAATGGAGGTATGAAGCATCCAATATGTTACATCTGACAACTCAATGTAAAATACGTCAGTGTTCTCGTTGTCATGAATGTGTCTCGTACTATTGTAATACGTGCACTGAAGATATGTGTATCAGATGTAAGAAAATACATGTTCTTGATATAGATACATGTAATCATGAGGTCTTTATCTATCGTGAAAGGTATGCATCGCAGGTAAAGTTTGAGGGTTGTCCCAGACACCCAAACTCTCACTTTTCTAGATGGTGTCACACATGTAAAATTCCCGTATGTTACACCTGTATCAAAATACATGAAAACCACGCAATTTCAGATATCAATCAAGAGTATCTAACAATCCGAGAAAAGTCTAGAGGAATTATTTCTAGAATTCGTGGTCAAAAAATTCCTAACAATATTGCTATAAAGAAAGAAATTGAGCTGGAAATAGAAGCAGTGCCAAAGGAAGTGGACGTCTTTGGTCAAGGGTTGTACAAATCAGGAAGACAAATGAAAGGCCATACCAAAAACATCGCAAGATCTTATAATTGTGAGGATGTCAAGAGAAGATTGGTGTCTTTGTTTTGGAAACAAAAGACAAAATTGATTTGGCAAAATAAATTGTTGCAAAAAACAGAGGACATTTCTGTTTCAGCAAAAAACCCTGTTGAATTTTTACGATTCACAAAACACTTGCAAAAACGCAGATTTAGAATTATGATTGAAGACATGCTCAAATTATCCTTTATATATGAGGAAAAAACCGTTACCAAAAATGATGTATGTCGGAAGCTAGATACCAAAGAAACAAACATCCCAAAGAAAAGACATCCCCAAACGAATCTCATGTTAGAGTCCATGTCAACTCTATGGCTAAAGAAATCTCAAAGCGTCCCCCGTGTAAATCGCAGTGTTCACATTTCTTGTAATCCAGTAGATGGCCATTTCTGGGTGAGTGACCACGAACATATCTGTAGATCAGACAAAGATCACACACTTGAGATCGGCAGACATGGATACGGGGAACACACGGTGACTGGTCAAGGAGAACTAATCTACATAGATCGTAATTATGATATAATTAAAGACTGTACCAAGAGAATTGTTCTGATCGATGCAAAGGGAGGATGGAAGCCTAAGTGTATCTATTGTTCCCCTTTGACTGGAGACTTACTGGTTGGCATGGCGACAATAAATCACACAGCGGCTAAGGTAGTGCGATATCTAAGTTCTGGGGTGGAAAAACAGTCCATCCAGTATGATGACAGACAACAGGCTTTGTACACCTACCCCGCCTATGTTACGGAAAATCGTAACGGTGACATAATTGTGTCCGATAATTATGTCGTTATGGTGACTGACTATAAAGGAGGCGTTAGGTTCACTTACAGAGGGTCGCCAGATCAAGGACTCGCCCCACGGGGGGTCTGTACTGATCCATTGTTAAATATACTTGTGTGTGATTGTAGATCCCATGGTGTTCACATGCTTGATAAAGATGGAAATCTCCTAACTGTTCTGTTACAATATGCAGAGAATTCGGCCGGTCCATGGGGTGTGAGTTATAATGAAATTGATCACGTGATATTAGTGAAAGGTGATACAAACAATAAAGTGGCGGTATATAGATATCTAAATCGAGCAAACTATTTACTTTGAAACTGAAAAAAAGTGTATATATATATATATATATATATATATATATATATATATATAGAATTCTGTGGATGCAAGATGCTTTCGAAACTTAAGTTATCAATAGGGGAACATTTCCAGTAAACTGAGCATTTCTTGAGGGGAGAAAACTAAAAGGGGGAAATATTTCCCTTGCTGAATATGTGATTAGAGGAAAGGAGACCATCACTAGAGGATTATCAAAGAAAGATCACATCATAAAAAAATACATTTGAAATACTAAGTAAATATCTGAAATACATGTATCTATTATAACTTTATTAATAATAATTCCACAAGATATGCAAAGTTTATAGTATGAAAAAGGTGAAAGAAATCTCGTTATTCCTGTAAACAGTACAAAACGCAAACAGGACAAAAACATGGACCTGATATCACAAACAAACTTATATTTTACGATATTGACTTGAGTTACTTAAAAAATAGAGGAAATCCAAAGATGTGTTTTAAATGGTGAAAAATCTGAAAATGTTCTGTTCCAAAGAAAACAATATAATAAAAGGGTTTTATTTATCGATACGTTCTACATGACTCAGGTTAGCTTTATGTCCAATGGGTCTCATATTTGAAGTATGTTTTAAGTACATACTGGCACTTGCTAGAAGACCTTCCAGGCTAAATCATTATTTTATTACCTTGTTATCTTTCCGTAAGGTTTTAGGAAGTATTGTTATTTCTCTCGTTTCAAACATTGTTTAGGCAGATCAAATATTTTGGAACCATTGTAGTTAATGCCACCTCTATTGGAGCCTGCCTGAATATGCAGGAAACAGTTGTTTGACAGTTAAATGATTGCGTTTAATATAATTTCCCCCCGTTTTAATTAAGTATATAACATTTTACAGCATATGATAAAGATAAATGATTACAATGACAAAATGAATTGAAGGTTCATCATCCCTCTGCTGACTCATATAAAATTTTGCTTTAACTCTCATGTTTTTCCAGATGAAATGTATTTATAAGTAAAATGCAAACATTATAGCTTGCAGAGCAGAATTGAACAAAAATACTGAACTTGCCAAATTTATAAAGGAATAATATGCAATTATCCCTTTAAGAGTTGTCTCTCTTATCAGAGAATCAACGAACCTTAGAGAGCAAAACATAAAACATCAGTTTTGCAAAATATCTATATCTACCATGCTATCGGGGGAATAATTTTCAAGTTAGAACAACAAAACCAGAAAAAATATGACCGGAGAATTATATTTTGAACAACAGATAACATTTTGTTTAGAAAACTGGTAATGGTAATAAATTCATGTCTTTGTGTAGAATAAATAAACTGCACTGACTTTAACTATATAAAACCCATTCAGTACTAATGTTCTCGACACTTCGTTGTTTATTTCTCCTCTGGGTTTTCTACCTCTTCTGTCTCCTCGGATTCAGACGAGCTCAGCATCTCTTCTTCCACCACTTCCGCCGGACTTGGAAAGTCCACGTATTCCTTTTCGATGTTAAGATTAGCCTCGTCCTTCAGGTCTCGGATTTTTTTCAGTTCATCTGAGAGCACCTGATCCTCCACCTCGTCCTCTCTTACCTCCTCCTGTCCTACGTCATCGGTGTAACCTGTCAGGTAATTTACATGTCTAAATTCAGTAACAAAAAAGACTTAAAACCGTGGTCATCGGTGTAACCTGTCGGAAAATTTACGTCTGAATTCAGTAAAATAAAAAAAACTTAACCAACGTCATCGGTGTGACTTGTCAGAAAATTTACATGTCTAAATTCAGTGAGAAAAAAAATATCTGACGTCATCGGTGTAATCTGTAAGAAATACATGTCTTGATTCAGTTAAAATGAAAAAAAAAAAAAAACCCCACAATCACAGTATCAAACACGAATCTGTTTATGATATACAAATATACTTATACGAGACTGGTGGTTTAATTAACCATATAAAAGAAAAAAAAATTCTATTACATTATTTTGAGTCAAAACTGTCAAATTGAAAATAAATTAAATCCATTTTCGTTTTATTTCATCAAAGGAGAATTTAAGCCACTAAATATGAGTATTTATTCTGTAAAACGCACCTATACCAATTATAGTCAGGAAATTCGGTTAGTCCTTAGTTAAGCGCAAGCCTCATTGAAAATAAGTCTCCTACAAACATCTAGGTCTCATGTCTCGATAAGTATTCTTAAGAGGGCTCACAAGTATTTTTTTTTTGTTCTAGTAATCACTTCGTCCACTTTGAAAAGAAGTACAGCAAAAAGGATTTGTTTGATTTCACAATCATATTTTTAAGAACGTAAATTCTCGTGTACTATGGCAATTGCTTAGAAAAACTGAAACAACATATGGAATTAATATAATTCTTTTCAGATTTGTAATCGAACATTCCACAAAATGTCACTTTTCCCTAATGCGTCTTATTGCTGTATTTTATCTCAATAATCAAACATAAACTCAATATTCAAATACAAAATCAAGTTACTTTAGTAAAACAACAAAACAGTTTCGCCGTAAGATCAATTTGTTCTCTATTTACCTGTTTAATTCGGTCTGTCTCTATATTTTATCTGTCTGACTGATTATATAATCGTCTTATTCCTGTTTTACCTGGGCTGTCTCTAGATTATACCCTTTCTGACATAATCTTACCTGGATCTTTTTTTCTCTTAAGTACTTGTTATATTCTAGATATATAGATAACATGTTATTTATGCCTTTTTACCTGTCTGACATCATATTTACCTGTCTGACATCATATTTTACCTGTCTGACATCATATTTACCTGTCTGACATCATATTTTACCTGTCTGACCTACCCGTTTAATTACAGATTTTACCTGTCTGACTCCTTACCTGGATCTTTTTTATCCTCCACGATCTCCTCCAAATGCTTGAGAAGGAAGGCTTGTTTCTCCAGAACATCCCCGATGTTGTACATTTCCTCTTGAAGATTCTTAATTTTCTTTTCGTGAGCCTCCATGGTTGTTAGTAGCACATCCACTGCCTCCTCAAGCTCTGAGACAGGGAGGGGACTAGCCCAGGCCAGGGGAAACAGTAAGCAAATCCACAGAAACAACATCTCTCTATCAGGTCTAGTTCATGTATGAATTTTGTGTTTGCAGCTTTGACTGAAAAGTGCTTGAGACTTGCACTTGACAAATCTTAATATAGGTGATAGCCGTGTTGGTAGAAAGGCCATTTCTCAGCAGACGTACATTTTGTCTTGTGTAAGTGAAACTAGATCTCCATATCATGTTACTGGTGGTGTGAGTTCTGAGTGTGGGTTTTCATATTTTATTTCAATGTAATGATAATTAAAAGACATGGCAATCCAAAGAAGAACTGTACACGTAATTAAGCCAAGACAGAATTTTTTCTGTGAAAGTCTGCACTCATAATAACAGTAATTAGCTATAGAGCAGGAAGTCAGTTCTTTGACGGACATGAAGTATTTAATTATCCTACTTTTGATGTTGGAAAACTTAAGCACTTGTTGATCCAGATTTGAATAAAGAACAAAAAAGGTACATGGCCACTTCTTGACAAGAAACACCGGTGGATACAAGTTTTGGTGTCAGGCGACATGAAACTTGATACTTGGGAGTGACACCTTCGGTGTACCTGAAATAAAATAGTCGGAAATTGGTCTGCTGCTGCAAAAAAACCTGTGTAATTATTCAGGCAGAAAACAGTAGGTATGTATATGTGATAGTTTAATGAAAATAAAGAATGAATGCACCTTAACAAAGTATATGACGTAATGCATTACGTAATCCCATCTGCTAAAAAAGAAAAACAAAACAAGATGTATTTGTGGAACACTGATGCCCCCATATTGCAACTTATAGCGAAGGTTAAACTTTCTCTAATGCAAATCAAATATGTTGGTACCCAAAGTAAGTTCTTGTCCCGAGGAATATACCTGTGAAATATGAAAGCCCTAGCAGCAACCATTTAAAAGATATGTAAAAGGTAAAAAAAATTCAAAGATAAATCAAACATCAAGGTCAAGGTCAAAATTAATGGTGCCCTAGGAAAGGCCTTCTCACAAGAAATACACATATGAAATATGAAAGCCCTAGCACCAACCGTTCAAAAGATATGGCCAAGTTTAAAGTTTATCAAAAGTAAGTCAAACTCCAAGGTCAAAGTCAAAAGGTCAAAGCTGTTGGTATCCAAAGTAAGGTCTTGTCACAAGGATTACACATGTGAAGTATGATAGCCCTAGCACCAACCGTTCAAAAGTTATGGCCAAGGTTAAAGTTTTTCAAATGTAGGTCAAACTCCTAGATCAAGGTCAAAGGGTCAAAGTAGTTAGTATCCAAAGGAAGGTCTTGTCACAAGGACTACACATGTGAAGTATCAAAGCCCTAGCACCAACTGTTCAAAAGTTATGGCCAAGGTTAAAGTTGGGTAAAATTTTGTAAAACTGGGTCAAACTCCAAGGTCAAGGTCAAAGGTCAAATATGATGGTACCCTAAGAAAGGTCTTGTCACAATAAATACACATGTGAAATATGAAAGCCATAGCTCCAACCAATCAAAAGTTATGGGCAATGTTAAAGTTTTTGCGGACAAACAGATAAACAGACAAACCGACAGACGGACGGACAGGGCAAAAACTATATACCCCCGAATCTTTGATACGCCCAGTTTAATTTTTCAGACAGAAAACAGTAGGTATGTATCAATGGTAGTTTAATGAAAATGAAGAATGACCTAAATGCACCTAAACAAAATATGACGTAACGCATTACGTAATCCGATCGGAAACTTCACAAGGTCCTAGTAAATAAATAGGATGAACTTCTCAGATATTGCGAGCTTGAGTTGATTGAATATCCTTATCAGATTGCTTTATATTTTATCATGAGCAATACTTGGGTTGTTTAATTTATCTCCCTCGTCTAACAATTATCCAAAATTTTCATGTATATCACGCAATTTTTTCAAGGTAATTTTTGAGAATTTCTGGCCATCATCCCTCTACTCAGTTATATAAAATCTTACCTTATTGCTTATGATTTTCCAAAATGAAATATTTTATCAAGCTCAAAAGTCCATTGAATCAATACAAATCAGGAGCAGAGCAAACACAGACCTCTAAAAGCATCACAGGTGGGAACAGGTGCCATGGAGGAGTAAGCAGTGTACTCCTTGTCATGATCAGGAAAACGGAAAATCCGTAGTCAATTCAGTGTGTAAATAATGGCATAACAGTATGAAAAACGTCAGTCAGCATTCGACTTAATGATACATTGTATTTGCCGACAAGGTCATCGTATCGAGAACAGAGGCTGCGAAATGTTGACTTCTAACGAGATTGTTGGTATTCTTGTTTCGTCAACTTGTTTGTAAATAGCTTGCCTCGTTTTAAAAATTTAAAAAACCTTTAAAAAAATATTCGTAAGTAGAGCATGCTTTTGCTATCGAATCAACTGGGAGACATAAACTACACATGCAGATGATAAGGGTATATTGCTTCATAAACAAGAAAAGTTGAAATCATCACGTTTATCATAAAGTTTTGTTGTTAGGTTACCATTAACGTCTTATTCTAGTAGAAACAGATGTGTCGGATTCTGTGGTGTTCTTTGGAGTTTTTAAATATCCACATCTGATTTACACCACTCCTCGAATATTTTGATGTGAAATACTCCTTAAGTTTCTCCGTCACTGCTGTTAATATTACTAGTGAAATCTAATTTATAATCAAAATTAACACAACCCTAGCATACCTTCCTGAGCTAAATTTGACAGGAATGGACAGTTAACTTGACAATTTGTAAAGGAATAATGGTCACTTACACAAGTATGAGTTATCTCTCTTATCAGAATATCGATAAACCTTAAAAACCCTTTATTAAATACTTCAACAGGATATCTTTCAATGCCCCATCCCTAAATAAAGATGTTAAGACTTTATATGATATACGAATAATGTTAACCATTCACAATGCTTTATGTAAATTTGTAGGATTGATACTCCAACTCTACAACTACCATTATTGCTCATACTAACTTCAGACTTTTTCACTATACCTATATTTATTGGTCTTGAAACCTTTTCAGCATTTAGTATACATATTCATTTTGGTCTAGAGTCTTTTTCAGTAAACCTTCTTGAGTCCTTTTCACTATACGTTTTTATCTCTGTCTTTGAGCTCTTTCCAGTATACGTTCTTGAGCCCATTTTAGTTTACGTTTTTGTTTTTTCTCAGGGCTTGAGACTTTTTCAGTTTATCAATTTTATTCTGGTCTTGAGCCCTTTTCAGTATACATAATTGAGCCCTTTTCAGTATACCTTCTTGAGCCCTTTTTAGTTTACGTTTTTGTTTCTTCTCAGGGCTTGAGACTTTTCAGTATTCTAATTTTATTCTTGTCTTGAGCCCTTTTCAGTTTTCGTTTTTATTTCAGTCTTTGAGCCATTTTCAGTGTACATATTTATTTCTGTCTTTGAGCCCTTTTCAGTATAACTATTCATTTTTGTCTTTGAGCCCTTTTTACTATACCTAATTATTTCTATCTTGAGCAATATCATACTTGAACCCTTTTCAGCATACGATTTTATTTTCTTTCTTTGAGTCCTTTTCAGTTTCTGTATTTATTTCTTCTTGAGACCTTTTCAGTATATCAATTTATTTCTGTCTTGAGCACTTTTTAGTATACATATTTTTTTGTCTTTGAGCCCTTTTCAGCATACCTGTTTATTTTTGTCTTTGGGCCCTTTTCAGTATACTTTTAATTTCTGTCTTGAACTCTTTTCAGTATACGTAGTTATTTTTGTCTTAAAGCCCTTTTTAGTATATGTATTTTTTCTTCTTTGAGCCAATTTCAGTATGCCTATTAATTAATGTCTGGAGCCCTTTTTCAGGATAACTATATATTTTTGTCTTTGTGCCCTTTTCAGTGTACCTATTTATTTCTATCTTGAGCACTTTTCAGTATATCGTACTTGAACCCTTTTCAGCATAGGATTTTATTTCTATTTTTGAGCCCTTTTCAGCATACCTGTTTATTTTTGTCTTTGAGCCCTTCTCAGTATACTTTTAATTTCTGACTTGAGCCCCTTCAGTTTACATATTTATTTCTGCCTTTGAGTCGTTTTCAATATAACTATTTTTTTTTTTTTGTCTTTGAGCCCTTTTTCAGTTTACTATTGATTTCGGTCATGAGCCCTTTTCAGCATCCAATTGCTCCCCATTGTTAGCAGACCTATTTTGTATTTATATGAAGCAGAATTTATTCAAAATCTTATACATGAGAAAAAGAAATATCTTGCTGTGGCCTTCAATTCGACATTTAGATATATCGACGACGTATTATCAATTAACAATAGTTACATGTATTTCCATTCATATGTCGACACGATATATCCCAGTGCGCTTTAAATAAAAGATTCCACAGAGTCTGACACATTTGTTTCATATTTGTATATTTTACTACAAAAAACGTCAATGGTAATCTAACAACAAAGCTTTATGATAAACGTGATGACTTTAACTTTTCAATCGTCAACTTCCCTATGCAGCAATATACCCTTATCACCTGCATATGGGTTGTATATCTCTCAGTTGATTCGATACGCAAGAGGATGCTCTGAGTACAAACAATTTCTAAAACGAGGTAAGTTATTGACAAACAAGTTGATAAAACAAAAATATCAATGTTCTCGTTTAACGTCATCATTTCGTAAGTTCTATGGTCGATACAATGACCTTGTCATCAAATACAATCTATCAATAATTAAGTCATATGCACTGACGTTTTCCATACTAAGTGTTAGGCAATTGTTTACACATTAAATTGTCGACGGATTTTTTCCGTTATTTCCCGACCATGACAAGGAGCACATGGCGGATGTGACCGGTCGGCAGGGGATGCTCACTCCTCCATGGCACCTGATCCCACCTCAGATGTTTTTGAGATCCGTGTTTGCCCTGTTCTCGATTTGTATTGTTTTAATGGACTTTGAGCTTGAATACTGTTCAATATCTCCATATTTCATTTGAGCCCTTTTTAGTAAATGTATTAATTTTGTCTTTGAGCGCTTTTCAGTATATGAATTTATTGCTATCCTTGAGTCGTTCTTAGTATACCTTATTCTGTCTTTGAGCCCTTTTAGTATACGTACTTGAGCCCTTTTCAGTATATGTATTTATTTTTGTTTTGAGCTCTTTTCAGTTTACTTTTTATTTCTATCTTTGACGTTTTTCAGTTTACGCGTACTTTTCAGTAGGCGTTTTCGTTTCTGTCTTTGATCCCTTTTCAGTAAGTTTTATTTGTTTTGAGCATTTTCAGTATACGTATTTACATGTATTTCTGTCTTTGGGCCCTTTCAATATACGTTTTTATTTTTGTCTTTGAGCCCTTTTCAGTACACATTTTTATTTCTGTCTGAAGCCCTATTCAGTATATTTATTTCTCAACCTCTGGAAGAAATATGTGGGGAACAAATATTATGTTTATGTCTCTCAATTAGAATATGTAGATTTTTAAGTAATTAACCAGGCAAGACTGTACATATTTATTTTATCTTGATGCACAAACCTTCTAAATAAAGAACATTTAAATAAACAAAAAAATTATTTATAAATAACAAAGGAATGTGGTGATGGTAGTTGATAATGATTTTAAACAAACGCATACTTTATAATTCACTTTCATTTAGTTACAAACTTTCATCCAGTTACATGGCAGTATTCTATAAAGGCTTTCAATATCATTGTTCAGCATTGCATTCTACAATGTTACAACAAAATTAATTCTTAGATCCTTAAGTCTTTTGTTCTCAGGTTTTCTACTTTGGCGGAGTCTGAGTCTATCGCTGCCTATCTATCACTGTTTCCTCACAGGTATTCACACGACAGACACATACATTGCAAACGAAACGGAATGTTCCAGGGAATCCCCGCCCACATACCCAGCATCCAACATTTCCAAAGATCCATCCCAGTTTGATTGGCGGATCCAGTTGTTAGGTTCCAGGTCTTCTGCCATATTGTCCGTGTAGTCCCACTGCAAAGCCAAGTCGGCGGATCCTAAAGTTCCACTTAGCACGTTTTTTGAGCTCCGCCTTTCACGCAGTGCCGCCATGAAGTCATGTGACAAGGTCAAGTGGGAAGCTGCCAACATTGATGTTTCAATATTCCTGTTAGGAGTACTGCAGAGAGGTTGGAATTTGGAGAATGTAGTGGGTATCTGACATGTGTTAAAAGAACGCTTCCTCCGTTTGTTTAGCAGATGTAAAATCAGTGAACGAATCAGAAGATATCCCACTCCGGACCCTAGTCCGATTGTCAGGAAGATCCACACATTATATGTCATCAGTGACATCACAAGTAAACAGCAGACGTAGACACGGAACACGTGCAGAAAAGCCATCAGGCAGTGCTGAAAAGTCACCGAGTAACTGCTCCCTTCCAGTGTGTACCTAAAACATTGTATAAAAATGACAAAAGTTGTCAAATATTCAACATTATTACATGCTTAAAGCTAGGACATAGATGGAAAGAAAATGTATTTTTGAGGGTAAATAATCTATATTCCCAAACATCAAACACTCAGGAATAAACATTTACTATACTGTGTAAAAAACGGAGATTGTCTCTTCATGACTATGCTTCTCATATAATTAATGTACCTGCTTATTTCAGTTTTTGTTAACTTTAAATTGTGTGGCGGACTAATAGGAAACCCAAAATATTTATACTGAAGGCCAGTGTAGGGATTTTTCTATTGAGTGAACAGAGTGAGAATTTAGGTTAAGACAGTATGGCTTCTTTTGTCGAAGTAAGAGATAACTATTAAACATAGATAAATTCCTAGACTCCATGACATCATGATCATGATTTACCTGTCGTCGTTGATCTTCTCGGTGAGGCTGATGAAGGCGCGCACAGTCTCGTGAATTAATGTGAGTACCAGCGTACAGAGAAGGGCACCAGTTAAGCCTACAACACAAAAGTCACATGTTAGTTACCTATACTGGATACTTAATCAATGACATAATATAATAATAATTCTATTTGTAAATACAGTGATTAAGCAACCCTCGATATACACTATATTCATGGGCCTCATCCTTTGGGCTTGGTGAATACATTATTCCTTAGGTAGCTAAATTTTCTTAACATACTGTCTTACTTTTTCACAGTTATCGTTGAAAAATTGAATGGAATAATTTTGCAATATTTTTGCGATGTCAATTTTCTGCGAGATTTTCCTGTGACCCATTTTAATACAAAGTCATGCCAAATCGTAATTTAGTGATAATAATTTTTCAATATTTTTGCGATGTCAATATCCTCCGAGATTTGCCTGAGACCCATTTTTACACTTCTTTTTGTGAGAAGGGCTACAGAACCCTAGTATTAAAGACTACCGTATGTAAAGCCCCCTGACCTAGCTATAGAAGTTATAGTGACTTCCTGTACAGATATAAGAACATTTCCCTTTTTTATTTTCTCTTTCATTAACAAGGATTACACCCCCCAACCCATACACACATAAATGAAAGTCAGGTGCTTTATTGTTAGGAGACATAACTATTTCCTTCTTTCTCTGTTTAAAATTCCTTAATTCACCCTGAATTATCGTACTATTAAATGTAAAGATAACGAACAGTGATCATTCTAAAAAGTCCAAATAAACAATATATAAACAATATATAAACAATACAATTTATGAGCAGAGCCAACATGGACTTCTGAAAACAGAGGAAAGATCAGATGCCACGGAGGAGCAAGCATCCCCTGCCAACCGGTCACGCCAGCCGTGAGCTCTTTGTCATGATTGGAAAAAGGTTAAATCCGTAGACAATTCAGTGTGAAATTAACAGCCTAACAATTTTTATGAAAAACCACTGTCAACATTGGACCTTACGAGGATTGTGTTTGCAAATCAGGTTCAGGTGTATCAGGTATCGAGCATAGAATTTGCAAAATATTGACTTTAATCGAGATTGTTGATATTCTTGTATCTTGAATTTATCATAAAGTTTAGTTGTCAGTTTGTCATCAATGTCTAACTTAAGTAAAATATCCAAGTATGAAACAGATGTGTAAGACTCTGTTGTGTCTTTATTTCGAGTTCAAAGGGATATATCGAATCAACGTAGGAACGAAAATGAATAGTGTTAATTGATAAAACGTCGACGATATATCTAAATGTTAAATTGAAGGCTACATCCATAGGCATCGGAACCGGGGGGGGGGGGGGGGGGTAGGGGGGCTAAGCCCCCCCACTTTTTTTTGCAAAGATAGACATAGTATAGGCATTGAAAATTGGGGCTTACCTTTTTTCGCTGGTTTAGACCCCCCCCACTTTCAATTAGCCCCCCCCCCACTTTCAATTTGCTTCCGACGCCTATGACATCAAGAGAGTTCTTCTAAAGTAGAAGTTTTTTTTTAAGATAGAGTCTACTTCATATGAATACAAAAATAGATCTGCTTATAATGATGGACAACTAGTACCCATGGAAATTCCAAAAAGTCTGTTGGAAGACCTGGACTCCAAAAACCACAGATAATCAAGCATCATTTTAATATCAACTACTTTGGAGAATCAGAATGTTTTCAAAATGACCTAAAACAATGTATGCAAATTAACGAGTTTCAATTTTGTTCAAGAAGCAGTTGTCTATGTTGTCAAAGAGTCTTGTCCTTGATTTATCGTGGGGAATGGTTTTATAAAGTGTTGAAAAGTGCATTTTGTTGCTATTGATTTTGATAATTTTTCAAATTTCAAATTTTCTAAAATTTCCTTAGAACTTTTAAGTATCCACATCTGATTTACACCACTTCTCTTATATATGTTGTTGTAATTACTTCTAAAGTTTTTCCTTCACTGCTAATATTTTCATGAGGAGTAAAGAAAGCGGTTTGGTAGAACGTTTACTAGAACCCGCAATGTAAAGAAAGCGGTTTGGTAGAACATTTACTAGAACCCGCAATGTAAAGAAAGCGGCTTGGTAGAACGTTTACTAGAACCAACAATGTAAAGAAAGCGGCTTGGTAGAACATTTACTAGAACCCGCAATGTAAAGAAAGGGGCTTGGTAGAACATTTACTAGAACCCGCAATGTAAAGAAAGCGGCTTAGTAGAACGTTTACTAGAACCCGCAATGTAAAGAAAGCGGCTTGGTAGAACGTTTACTAGAACCCGCAATGTAAAGAAAGCGGCTTGGTAGAACGTTTACTAGAACCCGCAATGTAAAGAAAGCGGCTTGGTAGAACGTTTACTAGAACCCGCAATGTAAAGAAAGCGGCTTGGTAGAACGTTTACTAGAACCCGCAATGTAAAGAAAGCGGCTTGGTAGAACGTTTACTAGAACCCGCAATGTAAAGAAAGCGGCTTGGTAGAACGTTTACTAGAACCCGCAATGTAAAGAAAGCGGCTTGGTAGAACGTTTACTAGAACCCGCAATGTAAAGAAAGCGGCTTGGTAGAACGTTTACTAGAACCCGCAATGTAAAGAAAGCGGCTTGGTAGAACGTTTACTAGAACCCGCAATGTAAAGAAAGCGGCTTGGTAGAACGTTTACTAGAACCCGCAATGTAAAGAAAGCGGTTTGGTAGAACGTTTACTAGAACCCGCAATGTAAATAAAGCGGCTTGGTAGAACGTTTACTAGAACCCGCAATGTAAAGAAAGCGGCTTGGTAGAACGTTTACTAGAACCCGCAATGTAAAGAAAGCGGTTTGGTAGAACATTTACTAGAACCCGCAATGTAAAGAAAGCGGCTTGGTAGAACGTTTACTAGAACCAACAATGTAAAGAAAGCGGCTTGGTAGAACATTTACTAGAACCCGCAATGTAAAGAAAGCGGCTTGGTAGAACATTTACTAGAACCCGCAATGTAAAGAAAGGGGCTTGGTAGAACATTTACTAGAACCCGCAATGTAAAGAAAGGGGCTTAGTAGAACGTTTACTAGAACCCGCAATGTAAATAAAGCGGCTTAGTAGAACGTTTACTAGAACCCGCAATGTAAAGAAAGCGGCTTGGTAGAACGTTTACTAGAACCCGCAATGTAAAGAAAGCGGCTTGGTAGAACGTTTACTAGAACCCGCAATGTAAAGAAAGCGGCTTGGTAGAACGTTTACTAGAACCCGCAATGTAAAGAAAGCGGCTTGGTAGAACATTTACTAGAACCCGCAATGTAAAGAAAGCGGCTTGGTAGAACATTTACTAGAACCCGCAATGTAAAGAAAGCGGCTTGGTAGAACGTTTACTAGAACCCGCAATGTAAAGAAAGCGGCTTGGTAGAACGTTTACTAGAACCCGCAATGTAAAGAAAGCGGCTTGGTAGAACATTTACTAGAACCCGCAATGTAAATAAAGCGGCTTAGTAGAACGTTTACTAGAACCCGCAATGTAAAGAAAGCGGCTTAGTAGAACATTTACTAGAACCCGCAATGTATCTCTGTAAAGATTTTTCGTGAAGTTTAGGGACCCAGTATACAATAGGTAAATCATATAGGCAGTTGGCTGTCCTTTTCTCTCTCTTAATTGTATGAATAAAAAGAGTATGGAAAAGCTTGAGTAAAAGCGTTTGAATTGACGAAAAGCACTAGTAAAAGTTATCTTTCTTATCAACCAGCTTTAAAAAATATTCTTCCCTTTTTTCAGCAATTACACTGTATTTCGAATTTCGTTCTTGCGTTGGTGTTTTATCATGATATATAAGCGAATTTACTCGAAAGTTTTCCTGTGTTGACAAAAAATGTAATATGAAATGCAATACTTTTTTAAGACCTTAAAATGATATTTAAAAGTTATCAATATGTATGTATGGTGGTGTTGGGCGGGGAGGGGATGTATATATGGTGGTGTTGGGCGGGTGGGTGATTTTGAACTAATATGCAATCCAATCACAGTGTTGGTGATAACCAGCTGAAAATTACGAAAGTCCAGAAGGCTCATTCGAAATTCAAATTTCGAGATTAGCCAAAAGGGCAGTAATCAAATTTTGAATCCGAATTTTGATTGGCTAATTTAGTTCTTGAATCGCGAAATTCGAATTTCGTATTTTGAATCTCGAATGAGCCTTCTGGGATTTCGTAGAAAATACCTTCATTGTTTGTCAAGTCCCATCCTTGAAGAAGGTAGAAAGACTGAGCATGTGATAATGTCATCATCTGAAAGGAAAAGAGAATTTTTTTTTTCAACTTGAAAATTGTTCTTTTTGCCAGACCATAATGGATTATTGAACATAGTGAGCATATTTCAACATTATATCATACATGCGTGAATACAAAATGAAATGTGAAGATAACGAACTGTGATCTTGCTCATTTATACAATTGTGAGCAGAGCAAACATGGACTTCTAAAAACATAGGTGTTATTAGGTACCACGGAGGAGTAAGCATCCCCTGTCGACCGGTCACACATTCTGTGTGTTCCTTATCATGATCGGGTAAACGAGAAAATCCTTAGACATATTCAGTGTGAAAATAATGGTCTAAAAATTGGTTTGAAAGATGTCAGTCAATATTCGACTTTACGACAGATTGTATTTGCAAACAAGGTAATAGCATCGACCATGGAATTTGCAAAATGTTGACTTTAAAACAAGATTGTTGATATCCGTGTATTATCAACTTATTTATCAATAACCTGCCTCATTTTAGAAATTGTACGTACGTAGAACTTTTGTATCAAATCAACTGGGACTTGTAGTTGGCAAAAAAAAATTTAATTTTTTTTTTATACAATTGCTGTGTCTTTGTTCTGAAATGAAAAACTATTATCACAATGTGAAGGGATTGAAGTGTAGAATTTTTCTCTTATATATTATGTAACATTTAACAAGCTCTGAACACACCTTCACCACCACCCCCCCCCCCCCCCCACACACACACACACACACACAGAGAGAGAGAGAGAGAGAGCATATGGAAATAAAGAAGTTATGATGAATTAAAACGAAATAGCATAAATTGCTTAAAATGTTATATATCGTGATACACAGTGTTTGTACAGCGATACAGTATATTTTTTGTGTATTGCGTTATATCGGTATATCGATAAGACCCTAGACTAATTTGCACCATTGGTATTTCCCGACCAACCCTGAACTAATAGGTATTTGTGAAAAGAACCTTGGCTAAAACTATTTTTCATATCATAATGCAGTTTGTCGAGACGAATTATTTTCAATTTCATATCAATTTTTTTTTTTGTTTTTCTATTCCATGTGAGGTCACACAATAATAAAAAAAATCTACAATTGCATAAATGTCAAAATTCAAACTTTGATAGTTATTTCATGATGATCATTTAAAAAAATCAACCAAAAAAGTAATCTGATGCAGGGCAGACACACAGACCGAAAATTTAAGGAAAGTTGGAAGGGTATAAAAATACGTTAAAAAAAACAATGGAAATTCTAAGAACCTCATACGTCATTTAAACCATCTACGAGATACTTCCGCGAGACATTTCAATGTGTTTGTATTTTTTATGCCCCCGTATCGAAGATTCGGGGGTATATAGTTTTTGCTCTGTCCGTCCGTCTGTCTGTCTGTTTGTCCGCAAAAACTTTAACATTGCCCATTACTTTTGATTGGTTGGAGCTATGGCTTTTATATTTCACATGTGTATTCCTTGCGACAAGACCTTTCTTTGGGTACCATCATATTTGACCCTGACCATGGAGTTCGACCCAGTTTTGCAAAATTTTACCAATTTTTACCTTGGTCATAACTTTTGAACAGTTAGTGCTAGGGGAATCATACTTCAAATATGTAATCCTTGTAACAATACCAACAACTTTGACCCTTTGACCTTGACCTTGGAGTTTGACCTACTTTTGGAAAACTTTAACGTTGGCCATAACTTTTGAACAGTTGGTGCTAGGCTTTCATACTTCACATATGTAATCCTTGTGAAAAGACCTTCCTTTGGATACCAACAACTTTTACCCATTGACCTTGGACTTTGACCTACTTTTGAAAAACTTTAACCTTGGCCATAACATTTGAACGGTTGATGCTAGGGCTTTCATACTTCACATATGTAATCCTTGTGACAAGACCTTTCTTTGGATACCAACAACTTTGACCTTGACCTTGGAGTTTGACCTACTTTTGGAAAACTTTAACCTTGGCCATAACTTTTGAACGATTTGTGCTATGGCTTTCATATTTCACATGTGTATTTATTGTAAGAAGGCCTTTCCTTGGGCACCATTAATTTTGACCATTTGACCTAGACCGTGATGTTTGACTTACTTTTGAAAAACTTTTTCCATATCTATTCAATGGTTGCTGCTAGGGCTTTCATATTTCACAGGTATATTTCTCGAGACGAGACCTTATTTTTGATAGCGACACATTTGATTTGCATTTGAGAAAGTTTAACCTTTGCTGTGAGTTGCCATACGGGAGTGTTTCATCTACTTTATTTCATAAATGAAAATATTCGATGACACCACATGTACCGATAGTAATTTTCGAGTAGTGATACAAATTTTAACTAATTTTGCAACTTGAATTCGGAATACAAACATGCTTTTAACTAATATGTAATCGACATGATGTTACTTAAGCACCGGGACATGTTTGCAGGTCACGAAAGAGGTTTGATAAGACACTTTAAAAGATGGAAAAACTTCATTATCTTTCAGAAATAAGTAAATGTTCAGAATTACTCAGTGTATGTCAAATCCAGTTTGAATATTTATTGACAAAGTTTTCATTTTATCTTATTGAATTAGTGGTAAATTAAATATTCATTGAGTGGGGCATCCTAACAGGTCTTAGTTTCAATGGATGTCCTTATCGACTCTTTGAACGAAGGTTTTCATCAAAACTGTTACATCTTAAAGTGAGTCATAGAACGATCCTGTGAAATTCCATAGAGCTCGAGAAAATACCTCTTGCTATTGAATGTGTTTCTTTGTTACAAAGCAGAAAACGACGTTATTCCCGAAAATTATGGTCTTTCAATGTGGGAAATAGTAGGTTTAAACCTTTGGAAGAATATTTATTTCTGTTATAATATTATCGATAAGAAATGACCCTTTATTTTCATATACAACATTGCATGTTTATCAACAGAACTTTGCTAGAAATTTTAGCTGAACATGGATTAAAAGTACATTTACTTGATGTCGGATTAACATCCAAAGATATTGCTAGAACACTAAGCATTTCATCGCCATAACATTTTATAAAATTCTGACAACAGAAATGAATATAATAATATTTCTATCAGATAGGTGCCTTATTTTCTTAAAATTGCCTAAGAGAAAAATACGCATTAAATATGCCAACGGTCTATTTCATAACAAATATTTTAACAAAATAGAAGATTTGTTAAATTTTCGTGATGGATGACGAAATATGGGTGTACTTTTTGTAGCCAATATGGGTGTACTTTTTGTAGCCAAAAAGGAAGATGAATAATAAAATGTGGAATCAAAGAAAAAGCTAACGTTCTTATTATTGTAAAGAGAAACAATGACTCCAAGCATGTTTTATTTGTTTTCATTTTTTTCAAGTTGTCCAGTAAAACATGTACATACACCCAAACTTCCCAAAGGAAGGACCATCAATGGTAACTTTTATGTTCAAATTGCACTGAGGAAAAATAAACGGATTTCCTGCGAAGGAAGTTTAAATACCGGCCCCCAGGGTAATTTTCTTGCACCTGACAACGCTGCGGCAAATAAGCACACAGAAATAAATGAAATTATGAAGAAAAGAAAGTTTACAGAGCTTTTGTCATCCCCCATGTTAGCTAAATCTCTATGGAAAGCCATAGGGGACCCCCATGTCATGTTCTATATATTTCATTGTAAATCAATCCTACCCGGTCAGGATGGTAATCATGACCATGTCAAGATTTCAAACATGACCAAGCCATGATTTTCATCATCTTGACCAAGTCAGGATTGATAACATGACCAACCTATCTTGGCCAAGTCAAGATTTATAACATGGCCATGCTATCTTGGCCAAGTCAGGATTGACATGGCCATCCTATCTTGGCCGGTCATCATATAACATGGCCATCCTATCTTGGCCAAGTCAAGATTTAAAACATGGCCATGCTATCTTGACCAAGTCATATGGAAAGCCATAGGGGACCCCCATGTCATGTTCTATATATTCCATTGTAAATCAATCCTGGTCATGATTACCATCCTGACCGGCCAGGATTGATTTACAATGGAATATATAGAACATGACATGGGGGTCCCCTATGGCTTTCCATAAAGAAAAGGTCGTATGGATGAACAGAACACCATTAGGCTACGCCAATTGGTATACTAAGTGCGCTATACCTCTTTCTACATTTCTTAGTATTTAGTATTAAGGATAAAGTTTACTTTGTGAAAGTGCAAGGATGTGTCAATCAAACGCAACCCGAAATTCGTAGTTTCAATAAATTCCAGATAAAAGAAGATTCTGAACACGCTTATTTTATATTTCCGTGTGAAATGCTATAGCAACATGTAATTCATATCATACAGAAAATAAAAAATATTAACTTCAAATCTGTGTCCAGGCCCCTTTAAATACATCTCCGATATTTCTTTTAACAATAAAAAGAAAATACTTACCCGTTAAATCAGCAAATCTCGACAACTGTCGATGTACCAATAAGTATAAAGAAAGAGGAAAATTAAACCTTTTGGATTCTTGATTTTAATTAGGAGTGGTTAATTAGAAATGTTTATCTAAACAGAGTAGGCCGACTTGCTCAATAATTACTAATGGGACTATGATAATTGCTTGTTTGTTTTAATAAATTGTCGGGACGGTTTGATAAAAGTAAATATATCTATTTTCTGCCTCAATATAATCAGTTTGACCTCTTGTGAATAACGTAGTACTACATTTATAAATCAAAGATCTACTTTAGTTACCAAACATTTAACTTTATTAAAATTTCACAGTTTAATTTTATCAGGATGAATTTAAAACTGCAACATGTGGGGATCAAAGGATAGCAATATTGAAGGAAATGATAGCATCTTTGACCTTAAAAGTTTTCGAACTAAAAATTACGTTAAGATAGGATAGCGTGTTCTTTAATGTGAAAATCGACATATAAGAGATTGCGTCTGGTAATTGTAATTGCAGATAATATGCTAACCAAAACTACATGAATGCTTAGATTAGTCTCTATAGTCCATCTTTTCCCACCATCTACCACATCACAAGTATCTATCTTAAAGAATTTAAAATTGCATCGTACAAAAACTTTATTTTTATGTCAAAAAATGTAAACCAATAAACAAAACAATGTAAATAAAAGTACACAGTTCATGCTACCCTTATAAACACTAAAGCACCATAAACAATAATTTAGAAATCAGATCTTGATATGTAACTATACACGTGTACATGTAATAATGTAAAAAAAAAATTGCTGTTCCCATCTTTTGCTTATGTCCTGTTTGTGATGACGTCACAATGAGCAATCCTCGCAGTCTGCAGCGGACGGACTCTGTAACAACTTCAATTCTTGCTCCATGTCCTCGTTACCATGGCGATGGGATTTATCATTGCTGCATGTGACCGGACATGACGTAATTTTTTCTTCTATTATTGGATATGCCCATCCACACAGGAAATAGCCCAGTCCCAGTCCAGCAATGGTGGACAGAAATACCCAGACATTAAATGTCATTATAATTAACATAAGTATATAGCTATTGATCATTTGTATAAAATACAGCAACGTCTGTAAACCATGCTCCCGGCTCTTAATAGTTCCCCTACAACAAAATACAGAATGATTAATACAAGTCTGTAATCTAAATGGTACCCCTACAACAAAATACAGAATGATTAATACAAGTCTGTAAACCATGCTTTCAGCTCTAAATGGTACCCCTACAACAAAATAAGCAAAACTCCTAAATCAACATCTGTAGATCATGCTCACGGTTAGTAATGGTGCCCAAAATACGGCACGATTAATAAGTCAACGTTTATAGACCTTGTAATGGTACTATCATGTTTGAATTTTGAATTTACTAGGTGGAGGTTAAATTCAAATCACAACATGTGCTTCCTACCTGTCTTTGATGCGGTATCGCCTGTGTGCGTACTGTCGGAGACATTTCACGATCTGGTACAATATACCCAACAGAATGCTTCCTATACAGGTCAGAAAAAGGCCTGTCAATAGAGATAAAAACAAAGGTTATATATATATATATATATATATATATATATATATATATATATATATATATATATATATATATATATATATATATATATATATATATATATATGTATGTATGTATGTATCAAGATATAAAGCTTAATCAGGAAAACTTTAAATGTAAGTTGTCTCTTTTAGAGCGTAGGCACATATGCAAAAATTTCATTGTAGCCGCCCATTCAGCCTGATCTGTTACAATTATAAGAAACGTTTCGCACCATCATTTTGAAATGGTGTTTTAACGGTAGCCCCCCCCCCCCCTCCCCCTTGGTCAATGAGTTTGACATCCGCAGCTTTATGAAAAAGAATTTGGCGCCAAATGTCCTACCTATTTTCGTGTTGAGGTTCCATTCCTTGAACAAAATCGGAACATTCACACCAATCGAGAAAAACTGCATATGCTGCAAACAGAAAAAACGAAAGGTGCTAAAATTAGAAATACATAAGTTGATAAACTTACTCTAACCCCTAACAGTTAAATGAGGCGACTTGGGGTTCACACACCGTATAATTCATAATGTTCAGAATGTCGCTCGCCTCCGGGGAATGAAACTTTCCGATGTAGTAGATAGCCCTGTAAAATTCGTCAATAATTACATACAGAGTAGTCTAAGGTAGCTCAACTTCACTAAATCACACCTGGATATTTATATGAAAAAATAATATAAAAAGAACATGGTTGACGATACGATAGCGAATCTTGCATTTATAATTCCTTTACCAGGATCAAAGAATCGACACATCATTGGTTCAGCTTACTATTCTATCAAAAGTGTGTAGGATGGTTTCATACGCGTTGTCTCCACCTCGCACGGGGATGAACTAGTGTCACCCTCGAGATCCCTACCTTAGTTTTATTGTCTTGGATGTCATAACAACGGACTTTTTCCACTCAATTTATTTAAATTTTAATTTGTTATACTTTTATTTTAAAGTTTGTTTTACTTTTTAGTATGGTTTGGCAAGAAATAATTTATTTGAAAGATAGTTCAGGACTTCAATGCAGTCTTAACATTTACAAGTGTCTATAATTGAGACATCTGAAAGGCTACGTATGAACAGTAGGCAGTATTTTTGGATATTATACTTTCATGTAAATTACTTGAATATGATTCGCCGAGAAACATTTGTTACCCCTAACTACATGCAATATGTTGTACATGGATGTCCTTATCTATCAACTCTCTCTCTTCTCCCATTTCTCTCCCCCCCCCCCCTCCAGCTACAACCCCCCTCCCGTAATCTGATACAGAGGTCTGCAGTCCATACAGCATCAAAATGATACATATTACTTTCACAAATATAAATCTATCTTAAAATCATCATACAAATCAATTGTGACACATATGGCAATATTCTATAGTTACCAGACACCTTTGTTATTTACGAACAGAACAGAACAGAACATTTATTTTCTAATTTAGAGCCCATAACAGACAAGTATGAAATTATTACAATAATAAAGAAAAGATATGCCAATGGATAGTACAACAATTTGTAAATGACATTGCTCATTTCAACAATAATATTGTACTATTTCAGTTAAAGGGAATACTATATATAAAAAACTGTATGGCTACTACAACATGTTATCATTTATGAATTTGTAATTTACGATGCTGAAGTTAAACGCCAAAATTCTCACAAGCATCGGGCCATCGCCAAATGCTGCCTTTCTTCTGCAGCTCGGACCCATTGACGGTAATGTTTTAATTTAGAGAAACAGTACTAAGTTTCAAAGAAATGCACACGTTTGCTTAGGTATGCAATGAAGAGTCATTATAGAACATACACATGTATCTAAAAATTAAAAAGAAATCAATATATTTTGGGATTTTTTTGAAACCACATGAATATTGAAGTAGTAAGAATTTACTGAGAAGGCAGTAATTAATCCAATAATCGAATAAATACATGTAAACCGTCTTAGGGATTAATGCAGTAAGTCTACATATATTTAGCATAATCACATTACATGTATAAGTACTCTCTTATGTACATTTATACCCGTAGAATGCGGGGGAGGGGGGCAGTCCCCCTTTTTTCTGGGTATAGTATTTTGCTATAATAAATTTACCATTAGATGATGGTTGCCCCCCCCCCCCCCCAATTTTTAGTGCTGTAAAGTCGAGCACTGGCAAATTCCAGGACATGGACAGTTAAGGAGGGGTTTTTTTTTTGCTTGTCAGATTATTTTGGGAAGTTGGCGCCCCTTCCCAATATTGTTTCCTATGGAGAAGTTTTTTTTTTTTTTTTTAATTTTATTTTTTTACATAAATCTGTTTGTTCAATTGACATATTTCAGATTTTTAATTAATAAAATCCAATAACACTCAGACAGCCATTTACATATACTCACGTTTGAGTGATGGTTCGCATGTGAAGACATTTTGGTCCCACTAATAGCATCAAACTTTCATGATTTTAGCTCCATCTACAATCAAACACATAGACTGTTTAGCTTAATTTTGATGGGTTGAAATTGTTACGAAATCTCTGTCACGCAATATTCCACGAAATATATATAATTAATTACTTTCTTTCTTTTAACTTTAACATTAGACAACACAGGTATATAGACTTGAAAATAGCTTTATATTCCACATTAATTATACAAAAAATCCTCAGGTAAATAACCTTTTATCTGACTGACAATGTCAACTGTTCATTAACAAGTTTGTGTGACAGTTCTCTATAATTTATGACAGTATACTTAAGGAGTCCGAGATTATTCTCTACATTGATTGAACATGCAAACATGTCATAAAAACACATTATTATAATACACATACTTTTCACCGTTACTCACTAGTGACCCCCCCCCCCTTTTTTAAAACTGTAATATATTTCTGTTCTTGCCTGGGGTATTATTTTACTTCACATTTCCGCGTTAATCATCGCTGAAAATTGAACATGCGTTTCAGCGTGTTTTAGTGTGTCCCAGGTGTGACGTCTCTATGTACATTAATCAAAAATAAAACATTATTGATTACACTCGTTATTCTGTTTGTATACTCACATTAAACTGAGGATTCTTGTTAGTACAAATCCATTCATGAATCTTTATGTCGGTGCATTCCTCTTTACCGAATGACCTTGCGCTGTAACGTGGCACAAGAGGAAAAGTTTAGCGATGACGTCAGAGGGACTTCCTCTACTCTGGGGTTCACCACAGGATAAAGGTTATCGTAAAAACGGGCAATGTTTGAGATTTTTTTTTTCAATATCCGAACGTTAAATTAAAACAATTCTTTTGTTTACAAGTAATACATGACATATATCTAATTTTGCCAATTTCTCAGAAAAAAAGAAATAAATAAATGTAGCCCAAATGTTAATGGTTCACTTAAATCTTAATTAATTAAGATAGCCCACAGGTACTTGTGGACAGGACCCCCCCCCCCTCCAATATGCCCCACAGGTCAAAAAATATTTTTATGTATTTTTTTCATAAATTATTCTTCTAGTACACATTTACAATGTATTCCATAAGAAAAATCCAAAAAATAACGCAGAATTAACGTTTTACTAAAAAATCATACCCGCGGTATTATAAAATTTTTTTGACCTGTGAGGCATATTGGAGGGGTGGGGGGGGGGGGGGGTCCTGTCCACAAGTACCTGTGGTATACCTTAACAAAGGATCAAATCCTGCAGTTCAACTTAGATTCGTTGTAAATAACATATATTCCCACGTGATCATATCTTCTGTTTAACACTGAAACACATATTTTTTTAAATTGAAAAAAAAAAGGTTATCAGACGTAAGGACACAAGAAAAAGAAACCCGACACTTTTGAAAGAAGTTTTGTATGTCATTATTAATAATTAAGACAGCCCGATCCCCAGGTTATGAAAATCAGCAGTTGAGTAATTGAAAATGCTCACAAAAATCTTTGAATTCACGAAGTAATGTGTATTTACCCCATAGTATTTCTTCAAAGTTCATCATTATAGTTAATCATATAATGCATGTATAAGGAACATTATCAAATCTCAAATATATTAATTTTCAGGAAACGCGAATAAAATCACCAGCTATGCATTTTCTTATTGAAAATTGATCAACAAATATATTTGAGGAAAAAATTATAGGTATCCAGGCATTCGGAGAAAATTGCATTCTAAAGTTTAGTTTTTCTAGTTCACGAGTATATAGTGTAAAAAGCGTGTATATCACAGATCACTCTTAATTTCTCATAACATGCTATAATAAGCATTGGTGTCTAAGGCTAGATTAGAGGAAATTTAATCTCTCTAAAAGTGTATTTATTTTTGTACTTTTATGGGAGTATAAAAATCAACTTTTTACAAGACTGTTTCTAAGACTTCGAAAAACCTCGAATCATATTGAGATGCAAGGAATTAAATTATTGCACGAAAATATTTCAATCTTCATTTTAAGCTTTTTTTTTAAAAAAAAATTAAATAATAGATTTAAGAGATATCGTTCCTGGCTGAGGAGCGAATAGCCTTAATTTCATACCTTCAATAATAAGAACTTTAATACTCTAGATACTAAATTCACAAGTTGAATATGACTTTTAATAAATTTGAAACTACATGCATAACATTTTGCATGCCGTTCTCCTATCTTTCGGTTCTCATTACAAGTAGGTTTAAAGAGGCCTGGACACAGTTGCATTGTTTACATTTTAATTTTCAATGCTTTTTCAAAAAATAAAACCAGTTAAATGAATTAAAATTACATGAATTTTATTAGAATTTAATGACAACGACATTCTTCTTTACATCACGTCAAACATCTGTTTTTGTAAACAGGACACGAGCTCTGTTATAGTTAAAGTTTAACTTTCACCGGGTGTGTTCAATTTGTTAAACTCTGCACACATCATTGAGCACGGACTGACGACAATGGTGAGTTGGTTTTGCTCTCTCATATTTTTACTCTGAATTTACTAGATTATAGTTTTAATATTTTTCATTAATACACAACACAATTTCTACTTTTCTTAAGTATAAAGTTTACTTTGTGAAAATGCAAGAATGTGTCAATCAAACGCGTCCCAAAATTCGAAGTTTCAATAAATTCGAGATAAAAGAAGATTCTGAACACGCTTTTATTTTATTTCAATGTGAAATGCTATAGCAACATATAAGTCATGACATTATAGAGAAAATTTGATAAAATATCAACTTCAGATCTGTGTCCAGGCTCTTTTAAGGACCCTCTATACACAAAATTAAAAATGTTTTTCTGGATATGAAGAAAATTATATTGTACACATGTATAAGTAATAAGCTAATCTATTTTATTTTCAACACAGGTACCTGGCATGCATTTACCCCCAGGAAAAATATTCAAAGACAATGAAGTATTGACTAACAGAAATCACTATTGTTTACTAAAATGGGGAAAATGCATGCAAATGCAGAGTTTAGTTTATTTATCTTGGACTATTCAGATGTTAAGAATGATTGCATTAACTACAAACTGAGTAATAGACTGTGGATTTCAATTTATAAATTTTTAGATCTAAGGGCAGATTACTCTAACTCCATAAAAATACCAAAGAATAGGAGCTGTTTGATGTGCATTGTATAGAAGGTTCTTCAAGACTGTTCACAGTAATATTTCGGGTTGTTCAAGTCCATGGAAGGCGAGGCAAATACACAGAAATATTACGGGTTGTTCAAGTCCATGGATGGCGAGGCGAATTAAGCCTTCCATGGACTTGAACAACTAATATTTCTGTGGACAGCCAGTGGTGTTTTTTTTTTTTTTGTCGAGGACCAAGAGTAATGACAGTTAAAGGCGCTTGGCCACAGATTTGAAGTTAATATTTTCTCAAGTTTTCGGTATAATATCATGACTTATATGTTGCTATAGCATTTCAAACGGAAATAAAATAAAAAACTTTTTTCATCTGGAAATTATTGCCGTAAACTACAAATTTCGGGACGCGTTTGATTGATACATCCTAGCACTTTCATAAAGCAAACTTTATCTTGAATACTTAAGAAAAGTAAAATTTTTGTTGTGTATTAACGAAATATATTCAAACTATAATCCAGAAAATTCAGAGTAGAAATGTAAGAAAGCAAAACCAACTCACCAGTATTGTCAGTCCGTGCTCAGTAATGTGTGCAGAGTTTAACAAACTGAACACACCCGGTGAAACGTAAACATTAACAATAACAGAGCTCGTGCCCTGTTTACAAAAACAGTTTACGTTTCACGGGTGTGTTCAATTTGTTAAACTCTGCACACATCACTGAGCATGGACCGACAATACTGGTGAGTTGGTTTTGCTTTCTCACATTTCTACTCTTTATTTTCTGGATTATAGTTTAATATTTTTCATTAATGCACAACAACATTTTTTTTTTCTTAAGTATTAAGGATAAAGTTTACTTTGTGAAAGTGCATAGATGTGTCAATCAAACGCGTCCCGAAATTTGTAGAACTTTTCAATAATTTCCAGATAAAATGTTTTTTATTTTATTTCCATGTGAAATGCTATAAAAACATATAAGTCATATATTATACCGAAAATTTGAGAAAATATTAACTTCAAATCTGTGTCCAAGCACCTTTAAGAAACCTACCAAGATCAATTACTATTATGTCAGTGCAAATCTCCTTCACTCGTCATGTTGTTAAAACATTATACGCCTGTGAACAGAAGTAATACTCTAAATCTGCCAAATTGGTAAGGGCATAATGAATTTTTCTGTATCTTTCATAAGCGAAAATAGCATTGGCACCATTTTTTCGTTATCTTTGGATGACATCGTTTTATCCGCCATGTTACCATTCAAAGAAATACTGAAGGCAGGTCCGTTACAGAACATTTCCTAGTCCGAGGCAAATTTTTTTTGGACAGGCAACCCTGCAAAAAGCAAGGCTCATTTCTTGACATTCTGCCTCCTTTCACTTTGTGAAATTTGATCACATTCTGTTCTCTCAACCATATATTGGTAGGATATTTTGTGTACGGATACACCAAGTTTATAAACTCCATCTAAAAAAAATTGCTGTAGTGTTTCGTCTATACATGATATTTTTTTAAATGCATACATGCTGTGTTACAGTCAAACACCTTGTTTCAACATTACACATTCTTTATTTTAATGAACAAGGAACAGAACGAACCATGGCAACAATCAATGATACAATAATATATAAGGATGCAATATAAATCGTGGATAAAGAGTTTAACTTGCAGGTCTAAAAAGATGGCAGTCAACCCTATCAAAATAAGAATATTTGATCGGACAGATACCCATAAGAAAATAAATTTATTTATATAGGTTGAAGGTCAACTTAATGAAGGGGGGAGTAAAAGTTGTGCAGGTATCATACTGACACAAATCAAACATCGAGTGGTTACTAGAGGAGGATCAATAGGTGTTTACCCGAGGGAGACGGGATGGGGGAACGAAACACGAAATATCATACGTAATACAGAGGCATCTGCAGGTAACTGGGAAGGGGGGGTATCAGGTGACAAGATGATGCCTGTATATAAGGGATAGGTAGAGGGAATTGAGTGCAGGTAACGAGGTGTCCAGAGGTAAGGAGGAGATATCTGAAGGTACTGGAGAAATATCCACAGGTAAAAGGTGTCCAGAGGTAAGGAGGAGAAATCTGAAGGTACTGGAGAAATATCCACAGGTAGCACGGACATATCTACAGGTTACAATACACTGGAAGCACAATGAGAGCATGTCTTGAAATACTGACGGTAAAAATGCTGACAGATTCTGTCGTCAAGGAGATGACCTCAGTAGTCACGGTAACTACCTCTCTGATTGACAGCTTTTTTGATTTTATCTAATACCAGCGGAATGTTCTGTTTATACAGTCTCTCGTTACTTATGTCGATATACGAGAATTTGGCCAGGATTTTTCGCACCTGTTCAGGTGCGTTTTCCTGCGGTGAGAACCTGAGAAGGACAGGTATGACAGGTTTGTTGAAGGTTTCCGCCAAGGTAAGGTCCTTCTTACAGTTGTCGCTCTGGAGATACTTGGGGGTGATGCAGCTTAGAACCACTGAAGCAGCTTTCATGTTCCGTTGGATCTGACTCTGTAATGTCTCCGAACTCCCGTCGTGGATCCCCACACTGCTGCGACTGGACTTGCTGCTGTGACCCCTGGGAGGCTGGGT